TCCAAATTCCTCCTCTTTGACCTTTCATTCCAACCTAGCTGCAAGCATATTAGAGGATATCACCCATTCTGCAGGTGAAACTTCCTTCCTTGACTTGCTTGTCTACATGCCAATCATCTCTGAACACACCCAGGAGACACATGCAGACATATGCATTAGTAATCTGCTAGGCTTTTCTTAATCCAGTCAATGATTAATGGCCACAATCCACACCTGTCAACTAAACACATCTCTTTAAGCCATATGTAACCTCCCCCACAAAAAATAGCAAGTTCATAATTCTGCCTAAGCAAATGCAACTCTCCTGTGTAAAATTGGAAATCTACTAATTCCCTCCCTAAATGGGAGGCATATATTTTTTGTGTAATGCTTACTTTTTACCTGACATTCTACAACTTAAACGTTATAATGTAGATTCAGCAATGGTTAAATAGTAATACTAATTCAATCAATGTTATATTACATGATGTATCAATGCAAAGAAAGAAAAGAAAAATTTGTGCTTAATAGTATATATGTATATTTTTAAATTTTTTTTGAAATCGTGGGACTTGGATTTATTTGCTTTATGTAACAATAACTTAAAAATTAAAAACAGGAAACAGGTCTTGTATTACAGGAGCTCAAATACAGTAAATGAAATCTGGCCAGGGCTCCAAAAACCAACAGGGAACACAAGCAGTGAACTTGAGGGGTCACAGATTAAGTCAATCTCTCACCTGTTCCCATGAACATCTTGGCTTTCCTCCCATAGAAAAGCAGATTGAAACTCACTGTAAGCTGTGTCTGTTAGTTTACAGCTCCATCTAAAATTAGTATCTGAATGGAGCAGATATGAACAGCTCACATACCACTAGTTTTCTTTTCAGTTGAGAATTTTCCAGGCGACATGTAGCTAGGCAAATGTTAGAAGTGCAGTGGGCAATGTCTGGTTAAGATATGTCTCATTAAGATATCTGTCTCATTAAGATAATACTGGGTGAATTTTTACAAACTATGAAAGAAAGTAATATCTGAAACGGATGCATATAGTAAAAAAATATTCTAATTGAAGAGACATGGATAAACTATAAATAGATCAGATCTCAACATTACCTACTCACAAACAAAATCAGAAGAAGCAACACTTGCAGGAGCACCTATTTCAGGAGAAATCACACCCTGTCTCCTCTGGGCACTGCACACTCGGTGTAGATTTGCTCAGACCTGACTTCAAAAGTAAAAAGTATTTCAATTCATTAAAAAGCTTCCAAATTACATGTTCAGTCAACACAAATTACCTCCTTTTAGTCACTTAGTAAATTTCACCTTAGCTACCATTTGTAGGAAACAACACTTTTGCACTTCTATCAGGCTTTCCCCTAGACGGTACAGTTTCTAATTGGGTGTGTAAAGTGCCAGTCTGATTTACCACCAGTTCAGTAAACTTTAGCCTGTGTGCAAGCAGCGAGGCTGCCAGCCTCATCTGCCCCAGACCGTGTTTAATCCTGCTGTGAGCTGCCCGGGGTCCCCTCACTGTGGTACTATGGTTTTGTCACAGCTGCCAGCTGCTAGCAAAGCAGGACCTGATCTTCCAAAGAATCCAGGGGGCTGGGCTTAAACGTCCTTCTCTAGGTGACACTGCTAGCACTGTTAGTAAACAGGACTGGTTGAAGTAGCTACGCAGTTTTACAGGTGCCACTAATGAACAATGTGGACAATGCCTGGTGTAGCTGGTTGATTTACTTTAGCTGTTTTTTTTTGTTTTTTTTTTTTAATGACAAAGTGAAAATAATCAGCAAAATAAGAGCACATCGTCAGTTCATTTAAAAGTCAACATCCAAAGCAAAAGAATTCTCCGTAGGACTGGACATAATTCCCATCCTCTGATATTCGTCTACTCTCTTCTCAAAGAGGTTCGTCTTTCCTTCCAGAAAAATATGCTCCATGAAGTCGAATGGATTTTCCACATGAAAAACCTCCTTGTTGAACCCCAGTTCCAGCATAAGCCTGTCAGCCACGAATTCGATGTACTGCTTCATTAAATTGCAGTTCATCCCGATGAGCTCACAGGCAAGGCCTCGGTGAGGAACTCCTGCTCGATCCTGAAGGCATTGATAATGATCTCCTTCACTCTCTACTCTGAGGGTTTGTGCACAAGGTGCTTGAACATCAGGCAGGCAAAGTCACAGTGCAAGCCCTCGTCTCTGCTAGTAAGTCAGTTGGAAAAGGTGAGACCAGGCATTATTCCCTGTTTCTTGAGCAAGAAGATCGACGCAAAAGAACCGGAAAAGAAGATCCCTTCCATGGCGGCAAAGGCAAGCACACGTTCTCCATAGGTGACCTCTTTGTCCCCAAGCCAGCGCAAGGCCCAGTCCGCCTTCTTCTTCATGCAGGGCATGGTCTCGATGGTGGTAAACAGAAACTCTCTTTCTTTGGAGTCTTTAACGTAAGTGTCAATAAGGAGACTGTACATTTCAGAATGGATATTTTCCATGGCAATTTGGAAGCCATAGAAACAGCGGGCTTCTGTAATCTGAACTTCTTGGCTAAATCGCTCCACCAGATTCTCGTTGAGTATGCCATCGCTGGCAGCAAAGAAAGAGAGGACATGTGAAATAAAATATCTCTCCCCAGGCTTTAGTGCTTCCCAGTGCTGAATGTCTTTGGAAAGATCCACCTCAGCCGTCCAAAAGGAGGCTTCGGCTTTCTTATACATCTGCCAAATATTGTGGTACTCGATAGGAAAGATCACAAAGCATCGGGGTTCTCTCTCAGCAGCAGTTCATCCTCCACACTGGGGGCAAGTCCCTTACTCTTCGGCTCGGCGGGCTCCTGGAAGATCCTCCAGGAGGTCTTGCTGGCCAGGACTCGGGTCCCGCTGAGGGTCGGGGGTGTGTTCTCCTTGTAGGCCAGGTTGAGTCCTTTTAGGCGCGACAACTGCAGCTGCTGCTTGTCTGTAATGGTGGCAAGCGGGGCTCGGACCGAGAGCATGATGCTTAGCAGCAGCAGTGAGGAGCAAGAAGACTGGATCCGGGTTTGAGCTCAATAATATAAATAATATATTTTATATATTATATATAATATGTAATATATATTATATTATATTATATGTATAAACATATTAGCAATGTAAGAAAAATATTTGTTACAACTACAATCCGCATTTTTGTAAACAGTCATGATAACAGCGCCTCAGTGGAAAGTGGGTTCTACTTGATGGAGTGACCCGTAGCTTCATTCCTGAAGGGTCTGTGCCATTTGTCATGCTGCCTATAGTGGATTGCTGTAGTTTCTCACTAGCATTAATAAAATGATGTGGTAACACAAGGAGATGCCCTAAGGGATCTCTTGCACTCCAAACATTCCCCTCCAGTGTAGAATAGTAGTCCAACTTCCCCTTGGTATTCTGGATCAATCACCTTGCCAACACTGTAACTTTCTTTTAGCCTGTTGACTCAGAGGCATGAGGTATCCAAAATGATAAGGAGAAGTCTTAAATTTCAGTTTATTGCAATCATTGTTCTTCCTGGAAGAAGCATTCTTCCCTCTAGAACTAAAACTTCTAGGCCAACAGACCATAACGCTGGAAGATCCCAAGGCAAAATTTTGCTAGGGATACTAGGGGTAGTCAAAAGTGGTTCTGTTTCCATTCGCATCCTTAGATTCTTAGGTGCATGAATCCTGGATATGAAAGATACAAATCACTGGATATCAGATATTGGGTGCTGATTCAGAGTTTATGTAGCCTTCTCAAAAACCTTGCCTAGACCTGCAAGGTATTACCATCTAGCTAACTGATAACTACATCTTAAAGAGCCCATTACATCTTTCTATCCATCCAGTTGTTTCTGGGTGGCAAGAAATATGGTAAAACTAGTGAAATCCATGACCATGACCTTATTGCTGCACATTTTTGGTCATGAATTGAGTTCCCTGATCAGATGCAGCATTGTGTAATAGTATGACAGTGAGTGAAGTATCCTGTAAGTCCACTGGTGGTAGTTTTGGTAGAAGGATTACATTGAAGGAAAGTAAATATATATCATGCAGAATGAGTGTCAATTCCAGTAAAGACACTTCCTTGATGGACATACATGTATCATCTATGATGGAAGTGGTCCAATATAATCAAGTTTCAAACATGTACCCTCAATACTGGACATGGTGCTGTCGGACTTAGTGTCTGCCCCATTGGATTTCAGGTTTCCTTTGATCTGATTCTTTTCTATTCCTGTATTTGTCCTTTCAGAATGGGAATGTTTACCCTGCACAATTTGTATCACGGATATTTGATATATACAGTGAATGTTATTTTAAAAAATAAAGCTTGTTACAGTAAAAGCCATACTAATAAGAATGATGGGCTAAGTGCTTTCAAAGTGAAGGGGAGTATTTTGAAAAGAATTAATGATGATGTGGCTTTTACTTTAATACATTGTTAAATTTAAATATTCACTGTGTTTTTTGATTACTAATTGTTGAACAAACATTTATGGTACTTTCTGTCAAATGTGTCCTTATTTACCTTATTCACTGCATCTGCCACCTGGACCTTCTGACTCTTCTCCAAAGTCAAAATGACCATGAAAGGTAAACATTCTCAATTAATTCATGCACCAGGACAGCAAGAACACTGCAGATACTCACAAAACAGGAGTTCCAAAACTGTTTCGGAAAGCACAAGAAAGAAGGAGTAAATTTGTTCAAGTGAGGGGAGTAGTTTAAGGGGGATTAATGACAATCTGTTTTACACTATAATCAGTTATGAGGTTAAACAATCACCTTTTTTACCATACCTCATTTTCAAGGATTAAGCAACTAGTTTTTTTTAAATTTTATACAGGTTCACAGTGAAGTGTTTATCTTGTGTTTCAGAGAAAACTTTGACTTTGACCTTTGAGATATGATGGAGCTGTTGGAACTTTGGGGAAGATATGATTGCTTTTTATTCTAAATGGACTGTTGCATCATATTAGGTAGAATTATGACTTATTGTTTATTCAGGATTGAGTATAGTTTAAAGAGAAGGGCTTGGGTGTCAAGATGACAAGGGGTGGATGTGACAGCTAAGCAGAACTGTCAACTTGATTGCCTTGAGCACTGCGTGGGGGCTTAGGAAAGCACCCTCCTGAATATCTCTGGGTGAGTTGTGAAAGCTTGACCTAGGGTATTATGTCTAGTCCAAGGCCCCTGCTACTCAGAAACTCTTTCCCTGATGTATATCTCTAGAGTTCAGTGAATAACAATGCCCCAAAAGAGCAATATATTTTTGGAGAGTAAGAACAATTATCCCTGGTTGATTAATGCAGAAAAGAGTGGGTCTTTTGTCAGCTGAGTGGGAAAACTTATAGACCTTTGCCGATAATATTGTCATTATTTTGGAATCTGTATCTGTGTAGCCCCCAGCCCTCTTTTCCACATTTTCTCTCCCACTCCTAGATTGCTACTTTTATCTGTGTAAAGGATTTGGAAATCATAGAATAGAACTTTTTCCGCTTAAAACAAGAATCATAGCATTTCACCACCCAAATCACACACTTAGCTTTTTACAGCCAGCAGACTGACGTAAAGATTGTCCATAGTTCCTAAGATTTAGCACATATACAAAAATAAAACTTTATAAATTAACAAAATTCATAGCTTTTGATTTCTATTTTAGTCTTCATTTGTCATGAACATAAAGGATACTGGTGAAAAAATACTGATTTTTGCACTGAAGAAATATTAGTATTAATGATTTGCTTTACAGTCTTTTTAATAGATATTAAAATGTGTCTATAAGACAATACAGTGTGCTTTTGTCATTTACTATTACCTTATATCTGGGGGTAATAATATTAAGTGAAAAAGAGGCAAAAAAAAAAAAAAAGAAGAAAGAGGCTAAATAGTTGATATTATATGTGCAGATTTCCCATTTCTGGAAGAATCCTTTTCTGAGTTTAATTCATCATAATAAGAGAATATTAAATAATTTCCACAGAAATCACTAATCCACCAATGACAGCTGCTACAATTTGCATGGTGCCCAAGTTTCAGATTTTACTGGTGAGTAATCTGTCATACAATTATTATCATACATAGTTCATAGCCATTTAAGAAGCTGTATTATAAATTGAACCATTCCAGCTTGTAACCTTAAATAAATATATGCATATTAATTCCTGACATGACAATACATCTTATTTTGTATATCAAATAAAAATGATAGCAAATACTATCTCAGAGAAAGGTAATTTTAAACTGGCAAAACATGAGAAACTGACATTAGAAATGGAGATTATTAATTTGTTCTTATAAGGAGTACTTATCTTATTTTGTATTTTATTGTATTATCATGCTACTCAATTCAACCATAACTTAATTATTCATTTCTACAGCAATTTACTTTGTGGTTTCTGATATACCAGTCTGTAGAAATATAAAGATGACACAGCACCAAATTAGAATATAAACAATTATTGTGTCTGTGATAATTGCTACAGTAGCACTTGCTGTACACTGGATTTAGTGCAAATATAAAAGAATAAAAATACAGAAATTGTTATAAACTAATGAAGAAATGACTTAGTGGAGGAAGCATTAATGGAGATATGAAGAATATGGTGGTACCGTGGTGCTGATCTTTAATTGGTTCCAGGAGGTACAATGATTACCAAAAGTGACAATTACAAAACAAATTCTTTTGGTTGGAAAGCTTATCAGGTCCTGATATAATTGACAGCAACAAATTCTACCTTGTGGATTTAGTACCAGATGGTGAATACCATCCTCCATGAACTAAGCAGCTTTGTTGCATCATGCACATGATATTTCTATGCCTCCCACCGATGCACTCAATCTTCTGAAATTGTAATCTAAATTGACCATTTCTTCCTTTAAATTGTGAATGTTGGGTATTGTGTCTCAGTAATTGGAAAGCTAGATAATGCAGTATATTAGTATCTTAGAAATGGGGGCATTGCTGTGAATGTGTATGGCCATGTGGTTTATAGGCCTTTGGAACTGGTTTACCAGAAGACTTTGGAATGGTTTGGAAAAGCAGACTAGAAAAGGCATGGGATACTTTAAAAATGTTTAGTGGATAATTCTGATTAGAATTCAGAATATCAGTATGCTGACAGGAATGTAGAGAGTAAAGGCTAGGCCCAGGTGGCTTCAATTGAAAACAAAGACTCCATTAACATTTATTAAATTCTTTTATTGGTACATTGTAGGTATACAACACAATTACATTTCTCATTGGGAATTGTACCTTTACATAATGCATCTTGGTTCTTATTTTTTCCCCATTCCTAGCCCTAACCTCACGCCCTCCACCCTTCCCTATTTACAAATAATTTATTTCCATTTTTTCCATTTCTCATCATTTTTCTTTCCCTTCTTTCCTTTCCCCTGACCCTCCCACTACCCCTATCCCTTTGGACCTTTTCTTCCTATTCTACATTTTCGATAATTCATTCTAATCATTGGTACATTTTAGGGAGGACTGGAGGGGTTGAAGGGAGAGCTGGGCAAGGGTGAAAAATAAGAACCAAGAGAGGCTAGTAAAGGTGCAAATTTCCAATGATGAATGTCATTATATTCCATTAACATTTAGACTATAGAGTTGTGTGTTACTCTCTGGAAAAAAAAATTGTATGCATTTTGCCTGTGTTGTGAGACTTTAAAGAGACTGAGTTTAAGCGTGGACTATTTAGTCAGGTGCAGGGAGTTTTAAGACATACCAAATTTCAGGATGTAGTATGGGCATTGCTGGGTGCTCTTTGCTAGATTTGCAGTGAGAATTGATAACAAAAGGTAGAAAACAGGTGTGGCTACTAGATAAATTAATGTCTTTAAAACAATTAGTAGTTTCTACATGGCCAAGAAGAAAGATGCTTTGAGACTCCATCCATTGTAGGCTCAAGGGTGCAAAAGTACAAACCTTTTATTTAAGAAGAGAATCCCTGGGCCCCTGTCAGAGAAAGATCTTTCATATAGAATTTGTTCCCCAGCATTCATTTCTCTATGCTGAGTTATCCGAGAATTCAGAGCCCACTGCATCCACGTTCCAAAGTGGCCTGGCTACTCTTTGAACTCACAGCAGATCTTGCCATAGTCTGTCATTGTGATTTTACTTCACTGGCATGCAGAATACAAGGGTTTCAGGGTCAGGGGGGCTCCTCCTAGTCAAGGATCTCGTGAGAAGGCAGTGCATGACACTGTGGGAATCAGGCCATAGGCTCAGTAGAGACCCTAGGATTTTGGAGATGCCAGGCACATGGAATGTCTTTTTTGCCAAGTCAACCTGCAGTCTATGAGTGGAGCCAGCCCCAGAGAAAAACTTGTGGGCTGCAATAAACAAAGCCATAGGGGTGGGAGTCCTCAAGCCTTCTAGAACCAGCATCTTACTATCATATGACATGGACATCAGATATGGAATTACAGCTCTGCTGGGTTTCAGTGTTGATTTCATCCAATTCTTTACTACACTGCCATTGTTCCCTTTTGGAATGGAAATATTTATGCACACTGTATCTTGGGGTTATGAAATTTGGTTTTGATTTTTAAAGAGATTCACAGATAATAGTTTGCCCTGTATCTGAGAACCTGGCCTTGGACTTTTGAAAAATTTCTGGAACTGCTGAGACTTGGATGAAAGTATTATTGTATTTCTGGTTTTGTAGTGGGTAGTTGTATTAGTAAGGTAGAATTGTGATCTTGCTATTGTCTTTATTTGGAGATTAAGCAGTTTTCCTTCCCCACACGCTTTCAGCATGATATTTCTGGCTTGGTGACATTTCACTGTGTATTAAATCTCCTTAAACCATAACCTAAATTAAATTTTCCTCTTTAAAGCTGTGGGGTTTAGTTATCATGTCTCAGCAAAGAGAAAGCTAACTAATGTAGTATATACATTTTATGTTCACATACAGTTCTGCAAAAACATAAAAAGAACATCAAAACTATCAATAAGGCCATAATTATAATGTGAACATGTTATCATATGGTCACTTATGAATAGTACTTAAATTGAGTTTCACTTTTGCTCATAGCATTTGTCTGGTTTTCTTGATTCAAGATATGTTTGACTCAGCTGTTCTGGTGTTGAAATCCAAGTCCATAATCCTGGGGTTTTTGAGATAAATAACTTGAAATCTATTAGCTTTTAAAAAGTGCTTGGTTATCCACATATCAGATATTGTATTTATTCCAGTTGGAAGATCTTTCCTAACAACTTTTTCCAAGTCAACATAAGTATCAGAAATTAATAAGTTTTCTTAAAAGGATAAAAGCAATTTTCCATTTTTCCTCTAAAGATTTCTTTGTCATAACCATTTGAGTTACTTGATTAAAAAAATATATATATATATACATACACACACACACACACACACACACACTCTCTCTCTCTCTCTCTCTCTCTCTCTCTCTCTCTCTCTCGGGAATTCCCTCAAAATTGCCTCTCCATGCCTCTCTTTTACTATTTTCAGGTATTGTCACATAATTCCTGTTATGTGGTATAGGAAGACAACTGATGATACAAAAAATAATTTTAAAATTAACACGTGTAAAGAACACATAATAAATCAAGGTGTGACAAAATAATATTATTGGCAATATTTTTAACAGTGATGTAAAATAAGTGTAGAATGACCCATGTGCTTTGTGATGGTTAACCTTAATTATGTCAATTTGACTGGCTTGGGATCCACTTCACTGGGTGTATTAATAAGGCTCACACTTTAGTGTGTCTGGGTGGGCGGTAGAGCCCCTGCATCTGGTTCCTAGCCTTTTTCTCTCTGGTGCTGTTCCTGCTTTCCTTCTTGGCTTCCATGCACTAAGCATCTTTGCCCCACCATGACTTCCAACCATGAGGTTTATGCCTTGGAGCCAGCTGAGTGTGACTGAATCTCCTGAAACCATTAACCAAATTAAGCCTTTTATCCTTTAAGTTGTAGGGGTCACTCATTGTTTTCAAGCAACAAGAAAGTGGCTCATACATGCATATTTTATTAGAACTAATATAAAGAGAACACCTCATTTTATAATTTTTTGAAGATGGAAAGGAAATGAAAACAGATATCAAGAATATCATTAAGAGGAAAATATAATATATTTCACAAATAGCTAGCTGCATTACTTTCCCATCACTGGGACAAAACACCAGCTACCCACACTTTCAAGGAGGACAGATTTATTTGGTCAGAGTACACAAGTTGAGTGAGTGGTACGCTGGCTGCAAAACAACATAGTGGAAGGGCATGGAAGAAGAATGGTGCTCAACCCATGGCAGTCAGGAAGCATAGAAAAAAGAAAAGTCCTTTGGCAAGAATGTACTCTTCCAGGTTGCTTCAGTAACCCTTCTCTTCAGAGCAAGCCCTACCTCCCAACAACACATTCAATTACGAACTCATCGAAAGGTTAGTCTACTGATGAGTAGTCAGTCCATGATATAGTCATCTTCAGAAACCCCCACCTCTGAATACATGTGTCTTTTGGGAGATATTTTACACCTAAACTACAAAGATAGATAGATAAATTAGCTTTTCGATTTCAATTTTTTCTGAAGTGTCTATAGAAAACTTGTGTATTCATTGTGGTCATTAGGAAATAGTGTGATAGAAAAAAGACTTAAACGAAAGTGATAAAAACAGACATGACATTAACTCATGAAGAATATTCAGTCAACCACATGTATTGAAATTAGAGAAAGTGTTTCAAGAGAATCAAAAAGCCCTCCAAAACTATATGTAATTATAATTTCCTTTATGATGAAGGAAAAAAGAGAATGTACCCATAAGTAATAATATGAGAGATCTTGAAAGATGAGGGAATAATACAGCAAGTACAGCTTTTACAAACTTATGGAGTTGTATGTAAGAGGAAAATACGAAAACATAATCAAGCCACAAGTCTCACCAAAACGTAGGAAATATAGAACTTGAGGATAATGAAAAAGTTATTTTTACCTTTATTCAAACAATAATTTGGCAAAATGAAGAAGTAAATGTACTTAGTAGAAGAATGTTCCACATTAATGATTGGTAAAACCAAGGTAGAACAAATATTCAATAGTAGTTTGTTTATGTATTGTTTCATAAATAGAAAAGCAGACTATTTTAAAAAACAAATCACGAAGGTAAAATAATTAAAAGAACATCAATATTTATCAGAGACTTAATTCCATGTCCTAAGTGGATTATATTCTACAGAACTGAGAAGAGGAGGAAATGTACAGTGTTATATAATTATATACACTGTTTCCTTAGGTTGCTATGTAAATCTCTCACAATGTTTCACAGGCAAAAAGAAAAATTCCAACCTAACTCTAGAATAGACAATGATCAATTAAATTTATCAAGATCATCCTTGTAAATGACTGAGCCATAATTCATTCTCTCTCTCCTCTCTCTCTCCCTCCCTCTCCCCCCCACCAAAACCTAACTTGTCATCTCCTTGCCCAGGACCTGCCAACTGCTTATTTATGCTCAACACTGAGGTATTTTGCTAAGATCATTGCTTCCAGCTGATGTAATTACACTGTGTTTATATTCAAGAAAGTCATCTTACCTAAGAGATAATCAGAAACATCTGCTGTATTTGGAAAGAATATGTGTGTTTTGTAAATAGAGTACATAAAAAACATAATATTTTAATTGAAATTTCAATTTGTTTCTGGAGTCTTATTAAAAACACTAAATTTCCTGTTAAACAATAGCGATGACCTGAAAATAACTATTGAATTACTGGTTATTTCTGTGGAAGTATTTTCACTAGTAGTTTTCAGATTTTACATACGTCTTAAGTGCAGCAAATAAAACATTGGTTTTATGTTTCCTTTGGGTCCAGATTTCTTCCTGCTTCTGTTTGTCTTTCTTACATATGTTTTTAATTTTCTTTTATGTGGTTATCTACTATTATTAGTTTGTAATGTTTAAACAGTTAATACTATCTCAAAATAATTTTTTTTCAAAAAATCAACAAGTGAAGCATTGTTTAAAATTGTTACTTTCCTCTTATGGCTTAGATGAATTGGCTGTGATTTTGCACTATTTGATATCTATCTATCTATCTATCTATCGATCTATTTATCTAGATAACTCCTAACATGAAATTCAATCAATTTTACAAGTCAAATGGTTACACAGAATTTTCTCTTAATTCGGGGCTTTGTGTCATTCTGTTTTATGATTTCTGACTTTGCATTTATTTTTTCTTTTCAAAAGCAGTTGGTGTTTGCAGATGATAGAGGGCATGTTAGATTTCTATCGTAGCTTTGACATACTAACTCAAACTTGCTAGCTTAAAACATCACATGTGCTAAATCTCACAGAACTAGGGGTTAGAAGTTTGAAATAGGCTGCACTGCTCTAAAATCAGTGTCACAAGGGTTGCATTCTTTCCTGAGGACTCTAGGGGCTAATCTCTTTGTTTGCCTTTTATGTATTCTAAAGATACTGTACATTGCTGGGTTGGTGCTCCTCGTTCATCAAAGCCCACGTGGTAAGTTAGTTTTTCTCATATCACATCACTGGCACAAATGATTCTGCCTCCTCCTTCCACTTTAGAACCCAGCAGTCACATTGAAGAAACAGTGACTCTCTAGAAAATCTCCCCATTTAAAGAGGGATTCATTACCAACCTCAGTTTTATCACCAATCTTATTTCCCTTCTCCAGTAAAGGGATGGTGCGCACAAGTTCTGGAGATTGATACGGAAATCTTTGTGATGTCATTTTTCTGTATATGACAGAAAAGTAAAATTGATTTGACCTACTCTAAAATGCATATGTAAAATTTGTGTTCAAGTTATTTTAATATAATTTGAACTAAGTAAGATGGAAGAACTGGAGGTAATTAGTTTACAGAAAAATAAATAACTCAGTGAACTTTCTCCAAACAAAGCAACACTTTAGCCACAGAAATTTTTTTAAAAAGAAAAAAACACTCGAAGTCTCTATAATATGCCCTTCAGACCTAATGTGTAGAGGGAAAGGCATTCAAGAAATGTACTGTCTGAGCCAAGACTCTGTTATCCTATCCTCCACTCCATGGTATGGAAGCCCTATCATGGGCAAGTGCAGTCAAAAGAATCATTCTTCTTCTCTCCTTACCTCCTCATTTGAAACTTTCTTCCTAAGGAGGAGGAACTTCTATCCTGGACGGGCCAGACTGTGAATACTGGAGTTAAAATTTTCCTTGGCAAGTTCACTTGTAGGGTGAAGTTTCAGGCCAGAAATCATAAACAAAAAAGTCATCCTCTTTTTCTCACTGCCAAGTGTAGTGTTTGCTTGTCACACTGGGAGATGATATCCAGCCTTCAGTTACAGTATAGTGTGGCAGAGTTTCTTCCTAAAGGAAGGGCAAGCCCTAAGTGCTTTACAGGTGTGTTTGAGAACATTGACTTTGTTTGGAACATAATGTAGAGAAATCTATGCCTAAGGATTTTGTTGAAAACAATCTAGATATTTGTATAGATTAATAAAGAGAAGCCAATAGCATTGATACAAAGCAACAAAAGAGCCAGAAGTTTAACAGTGAGAATCACAGGAAGAGAGCCATTCTGGCACCAAAGGCAAATCTGGATGTCAGAATTCTGTGTACACAGTCTAGCAGGACTGGGGAGCAATCAGAGGAGGACAAAGAGCTGCGCTGAAAGTGTTCTGCCAGCCACACTCAGACAGGTTACAGGTTTGTAGCTGCACTAGCAAAAAGGTCTTAGACACTACCTCCGACCGAATGTGGAGGGCGGAGACAGATGGAAAATCCCCGCAGTCCCAGGCCTGATGCTCCCAAAGCAGAAGATTGTGGAGGAATCAGATAGAGATGGAAAGCATACAAACAAAGTTGTACTTCTATTCAGCAAGCATGCAAGAGTACAGCTTCCATCTCTCAGAGAGACCGGCAGGGATGTCCGAAATGGAGCCACCGTTGAAGGGGGGCTCAAGACCTTGGTTTTATAGTAGTTGGGGCCTATCTTGGGTCTGGGCTGAGGGCACCCCTATTTGATTGATTAATGATTAACTTGGCTCCTTACTAGGGACAACAGGGAAGGGTCTTTTCAAGGGCCTTTTACATCTTAGGGCCAAGGTTTTTTTCCTTTTGATCTTAGCAAACCAAGCTTTGCAGGGTACAGCATGAAGAGGAGGTGCAACCTCACACTGTCAGCTTTTCATGGGGGCTAAAGACTGTTCTGCCAGCTATCTGAACTCCTTCAGCCAGGTGGGGAGGGTGTCCCTCATCTCTCCCTGCCTACAGGTCTCTATCATTGCACAAACACTGATTAAACTATATGCCATTTTAACCTAGCAGTCACTCCTCCTGGAAAACCAGGAAGATTTCAGGAAGATTTATGGCAGTCTGGAAGACTGTGAATGCCAAAAGCTGTGTCTCAGTAAATAAACAGAGAAATAATCTAAGCTCCTACTACCTAATTGAATGCAGATCAAAGGTGTAAATTTGTAAGCTGTATAGGCAACCTCTGAGCCAAACTTCCACAAACACAACCATAGACATACACACACACACACACACACACACACACACGCATGCACGTGCGTGTGATGGGGGGGCGTATAACCTATTTAGTAGGTTTAATCTGCTCTTTGATGAAGAACTGGGTTATGGTGATTCAGGGGCTAAAAACTATCTGGGCAGTGGTAATATAGTCTGCATGCTACAGAAGAATTATGGTTCAAAGAATTAGTTTAGCCAAATCATAAAAAATAAGCAAATAACCAAGTAAGCATCAACAGAAGCCCTCCGAGTATTAATATACAGAATCTGTTCTATATATAATCTAAAATGTCCAATTTTAATCAAAAGTGTTAAAATAAGTAAATTTCATTCAAAAATAGGAATAAAACTAGGCAACAGAAACTGATTTTCAAAGGACCTACATGGTACAGTCAACATGCAGACTTCAAAGCAATTACATGTAGATGTTTATTTACATACAAACATATAAATGTATATAATTTTCCAAAGAAATAAACTAGTGTTTGTCAATATGGAATGATGACATTACCTCAATAATTAGATAATGTAAGTAAAAAAATATAAACTATACAAAACCCAAATTCTTAAGCTGAAATTTCAATAACTGAATTGAAAAATTCACTGGAGATCTACAGTAGATTTGACATAACAGGAAATAATCAGAAATCATTAAGATAAAGCATAAAATACTATGTATTCTAAGAAACAGTTAAAACAATTAAATGAAGAAAATTGGAGAGTCTAAGAGAAATTTTGGTCACTATTAAACACAAAAGCATATTTATAGTGAAAGTACACAAGGGAGAGTAGAGAGATATAAATAAAGAAAAAATGTTTAATGAATAGTGGCTTAACATTCCCCAAATTAGAGAAAAATATAATCTACACAGGAAAGTATCTCTGAAAACTTCAAGTAGGAAAAACTAAAAGATCCAAACCCAGATACACCACAGTTGAAATCTTGATCGTGGCAAGACAAAAAAATGACATTAGTTAAAAGGAAACATGATAAACAACAGACCTCTTATCAGAAGCAATGAAGAAGGAACAGCAGTGAAAAGATTTTTAAAGTGATACAAACAAAACATTGCTAGTCAAAAAATTTACATTTAATTGAACTGTCTTTTACAGATTAAACTAAATTAAAATTGTTCTAAGATAAATTTCAAAAATTTGAGAAAAATTACTGCAAAGCAATCTGCCTTACCAGAAATACTAAGTGAACTTATTCAGGGTAAAAGCAAATGACCCTAGATTATGATGTCATATGAAAAAAGGATGCCAGATTTCCACAGTGGTTGCACCAGTCTACACTCCCACCAACAGTGGAGCAGGGTCCTTTTTCCTCACAGCCCTGACAGCGTTGGTTATTGGGTAATTTCATGATAGCAGCCATTCTTTCTGGGGTGCGGTGGAATCTCAGCATTGTTTTCACTTGCATCTCTCAAATGACCAGTGATGCTGGACATTTTTTCATGTTTATTTGCTATTTCTACTTCTTTGTCTGAGAAATGCCTGTTCATTCCAGATGGCCCATTTTCGATTGGGTCTTTAAATTTGGGAGGTCTGATTTTTAAAAAAATTCTTTTTATATTCTAGATAGTAGACCTTTGTTTGAGGAACAGCTGGTTAAATTTTTTTCCCACATTGTAGGTTGTCTCTTCACACTGGTGGTGGTTTCTCCTGCTGTGCAAAAGCTTTTTAATAAGAAGAGATCGAACTTGTTGGTCATTTGTGCTAGTTCACATGCAACTGAGGTTTTGTTCACAAAGTCTTTTCCTACACCAGTGTCTTCAAGAGTTCTACCTAACCTCTCTTGAATATTTTCTTTGATGTGAGAAACTGAAAGTGTAAATAAGGATCAAAAGACGTAATAGATATTGTAAAATAGGAGGAAAAGGTCTAAAGGGGAAGGGGAAGTGGGAGGGACTGGGCAAAGGAAAGAAAAGAATGGAATTAATGTGAGAAAATTAAAAACTGGAAACAAAGTCTGTAAATAGGGAGGGGTGGGAGAGTTGAAGGGAGGGTAGGGAGTTGGAAACAAAGATAGATTATGTAAAGTTACAAATTTCCAATGATGAA